ATATATTTGGAAAAGCACGTTTTACACAATGAGCTTTGAAGCAATTTTTGTTTGAAGAAATGAGAAGAATTTATTTATAGTAGTTTTGTTTGTGGAAACACCACGTAAATTTATTACTGCAAAGCTTTCGATCCGTAAGCCCGGATCTTCTTCAGTGCTAATTGAATATTTGAATTTATTTACTATGTGAAAAATAGGGCAAGTTTGCTTTGAATGATTAATGCCTATGAATTTTGTTGATTGAACTTTTTGCGAACTGTTTTCCCTTCCAACGAAAGCTGTAACTTTAATTTCCTAAATTATCCTGTTTAATTTAAGAAAAAAACAAATTGATTTGAAGATGGAATTGAAATTACCGAACAATTTGAACTTGCGCTAGATGAACCTGGAGGAAATCGTAATCTTAACGACTTAAGATAAATATTTATAATATAGTAATGCCCAGCAGAAAATACGTAAAAGAGCCATAACAAAAATATTTTTTTTAAGATATTTATTAGAAAGCTAACGTTTCGTCTTTAACTTAAGACATCTTCAGAGCAATGACATACATGCGAAGCGTAAAACATAGAAATATGAATATAATGAATAAATTACAACTATTTGCAAGATATTATATTACAAAAGTAGAATAAGGAATGGATCAGAGTAGAAGTAGAGGGACCGAACTGCCTTGTAAATTGAGAAAGACTTTCTCGAATGAGGAGTTCGTCAGGAGAAGAGCAACAAGAAATAATCTTAAAATCATTCCTCATTTTTGTAGCATGATTTCTGCGGATCTGGCTTTGCATCCGGGAAACGAGAATTTACATCCGAGCAACGAAATTTTAGTCAATTATAGAGTGTTATTTGCCCCGATTACGGGAAGGTTCAATTTGTCCATCGATTTTTCGATGCCTACTCTATTCTTTTATAATGTCCATGCGTCTTTTGTCTCTTTTCGGCGTAAATATTTAATATTATTGTTTAGGTTATAACGACGCAAGGAATTGCCGCGTACACACCGGTCGTAGCTTAAGGTAGCCAATACTCCAATAGCATTCCTTTATTTGTATAGATCATGTACATGTTTTTAAAGGGAAAATTTGTTTCAAATAGGTACTAAAATGCGGGCCGTCACTAACTTTTCATTTGCAAACAAAGTTGCTGTGGAAAATGACTGGAATTGGATTTTCCCGCCTTTACTCCGAAGACCATGCAAGTACAATCCTAAACTGTCTTATAAAGTACAAACTTTCAATTTACAAGGACACATTTTCCTTTGACAAGCCACAAAGTGTGTAAAAAAAAACACGCTATTTTAATGCCTGATTTAGACAAGACTGGGTCTTGAACGATATCCGGCATTCCGGCTTGGTGTTTTACATTGGCGGATCATTGCCTGCGATTCAAGAATTGCTCGACTCGAAACATGCGTTAGAAAATTATTATCAGTTTAAGTATAATGATGATGGACTTTTGCATTTTTAAACAATTTAAAAGCACTCACAGGTGAATGATTAAGTGGCCGCCTGGTGGCAAACAAAATTTGAAATTAAAAAATTGAAAAATTTCGTTTCAACAAAAGTGACTGCTAGCTCAGACTGCTCAACACTTTCCAATCGAATAACGTCGTTAAACGATTCAACGTGTATTTATACGAACTGGAAGTCAAAATTGGTTTAAATGTGTGCAATGTTAACAAGGTAGGTGCATTGCCTCTGTAAAACATTATATTATTTTTTTCAAACGTTGCTACCTATAGTAAAGGCAGCCCAAAACTGTAATAGACATGGCCGTCGTGGATTCCATGCTAGTCTTCGTATATTTTCTCATCAAAGTTTCGAAGTTCATATTGTTCACAGGGCTCATCATTCTTCCCAAGCAATACGATCACAATAATTTGGATAAATTTATTCTGTACATGCAAGTTGTGGCTGAGTTGACTCGAGTCATTAGCGAGTTTAGCGGCGACGTGGGTAGTAGCGAAGTAGTTGTAGTTCGCTACTGTAGCGAACTACAATTTTCAAGTAGCCAGTACGGGCAGTAGTTCTTGACTACTTTTTTAAAACAGTAGTTGTAGTTATAGCGAACTACATTTTGCCTAAAAATAGCCAAGTAGCTGACTACTTTTTAAACAGCGAATCGCTATTCGCTACTTTTTAAAATTGTTAGCAACCGTTCATGGAATAGAATGATATTAAGACACGGTTTGCTTAAAAGATTATTTTATACAGCAAAGATTATTTTAGCGCAATGAAAAGTGGCACTCCTGAACACTGTAGTGCTTACAAAAATGTTGCTTTGACCCTTTTTGTTTACTGTTGCTACTCGTAAGTCGATTTGTTATAGGTTATATTACAGCCTGAGCTAGTGGATGCTCCAAATACCGTTTCACTAAAAAATATAGAATAGCGAAATAGTTCGCTACATTTTTTAAGCATGCAGTATAGCTGTAGTCAGTAGCGAACTACCTTTGTTCAAAAGTAGCAGTAGTTGTAGCCGACTACATATTTCTGAAGTAGCTGTAGTTATAGCGAACTACAAAAATTTTGTAGTCAACCCACCCTTGTCATCAACACATATGAAAGAACATAAGATTTTAAAGTTTTCTGTTTCCTTACACGAGCGTTATGATGCAAATTGCGCCACTGAAAACTAGTTATACCAATTCTCGGGTGGCGCCGTGTTGACAAGAATGTCGCTTGCACTATTTACATTGGAAATCAGCAAGTCCAGTCCAAGTTGAGTAATTTGGGACATTTTTTGTATTGGACTCAAGACGCTGAAAATAGCGACCCAAAAAAAGATGGAAATTGCAGTTAGTTTGAAAATTGGATTTCCATGCATTCAGGGCATTTTTTAACTACTGTATATAACTACTGGGGCAGTTACCCCAGTATAGGCCCTTTGCTTGCCCCAGTAGTGAAGCATGATTTTCATATGGGCTGGGCCCTTTTGATCATTAGTAAAAATTAACCCGTTGAAAATGCTGGGGATCTGCCTGCCTTCTCATATCCTCTCACATTCTTGACATTCCATCTTAAAAGGTCAGAACAGGCAGGGAGGCGCTATAGGGGGTGTGGGGGGAGACACACACCCCAGTCGTCAGGTAGTCGGCAAATTATCTAATCCTAGTTGGATATAGGAAGGAAAGGAACTAAAATATTTTAGTGATACTGATATTAGAAACTAATAATTATAGCTAAAATTTAGAGAAATGTACGGAAAAAATTACGGAAAATTAAACAAACAATGCTACATTAACTGAAAATAAAATAAAAAGTTTGACGTGCGGAAAATGTTTTGATGTAGAGCCGTGAAATTAATGACGGCAAAATTTCACTTACACTCCCCCCCCCGTTCAAATAGAGCTAGCGCCATCTCTGAACACAGGCGCAACTGTAAACTATATGAGGGGAAAAGGTCCCTATTGAGACTTGGCCCCAGTAGCTGCAATTTCTTAAAAAATGCCCTGTGCTATTTTCAATTAAGATCCATACTATTTTCATAGCAAGGATTTTGACTAAAAAATTCCAGTGACAACGTAGTATTACAAACTTTGCAAGTTCTTTAGAGTGCACCGTAATGGCTTGCAATTGTGATAAATAATTGACAAGGTCTATGTCTTACTATGCCCCTATTAGTACAGGTAAACGCGTGTTTTCAAAGTTTCACAAATTGCCCGAGTCGCGAAATACTTGTTAATCATAGAGGGCAAAATTTATTCGTAAGTTAATGGTGAACTTGTCAAGTTCTTGAACCTCGTATGTCTCCATGTCTTGACTTCGCCGATGTTTCTCAATGCTGCCCTGCCTGCCCATTTCTTAGTTAAATACTCCAACCAATAAATTTGTACTTTTTCTAGTGTTCTAATTTTCACTAGAAGTTTTTAATTCTTCAATAACATCATTATTCGCGACGACAAAGCGAGAAGCCACCGTTTTTATTCCTGTTTAATTTAATGGACCTATTCCCTAATGAACAAAATTTTGATATAGACAAGTCTAAACAAACATTTCATCACAGCTTGAAAAAGCATCGCAAACTTAGTAATATTCCGACGTTTCATTGCGATATGTTGTAAAATGCGGATACTATAGCACTGCGAAATTTGCCGTTTTTCAGTCATTTTGTATTACGCACAGCAAATTGATACCGCTTTCTGAAAAAAGGTATCAATTTCCCGTGCGTAATACAAAATGACTGAAAAACGGCAAACTTCGCAGTGCTTATATTATCCACATTTTACAACATTTCGCAACGAAACTTCGGAATATTACTAATTTTGTGATGCTCTTTCAAACTGTGATGAAATGTTTGTCTAGACTTGTCTAGATCAAAATTTTGTTCATTAGGGAATAGGTCCATTAAAACAAGAAAGTTCCCGCGCTTGCGTCTCAGACTCAGCCAATTATCAGGTACAAGTATTTTTGCCCTGAATTAAGAAAAAAATGCCCTCCTCATTAGCCAATCATATTTGAGTAATTTTGCCCTCAAGCTCTATATGATTATTATTTAAAACACGAAATATTCAATAGCGACTTCATTAATGGACCTCTTCACCTAATAACCAAAATTTTGATCTCAACAAGTCTAGACAAAAATTTCAAAACAGCTTGAAAGAGCATCACAAAATTAGTAGTATTCCGAAGTTTCGTTGCGAAATGTTGTAAAATGCGGATAATATAGTCCTGCGAAGTTTGCCGTTTTTCAGTCATTTTGTATTACGCGCGGGAAATTGATACCTTCATTCAGAAAGTGGTATCAGTTCCCGTGCGTAATACAAAATGACTGAAAAACGGCAAACTTCGCAGGGCTATATTATCCGCATTTTACAACATTTCGCAACGAAACTTCGGAATATTACTAATTTTGTGACGCTCTTTCAAGCTGTGATGAAATTTTGAAACGGGGCGTAATTCTACTGTATTTTATATTTTTCAGAGGTCTCTCATTGGCCGTGGCAGTTTTCCTTCTACCATTTTTGGAGCGAAACTTTCTAACACAAGCATTGTACGAAGTCCGTTTTGACCAGGCCAAAGAGGATTATGGTCTAGCCGACAACGAGGTGTTTCTTAACTTGACACAGACGCCTCGTGTTCAATGTTTTTACCGCTGTTCAATGGATTGCCGTTGCTCGGCTTTCCAAATGTTTAAGGATACGGACTGTCAACTACTGTCGTCATCACGGGCTGAAGTGACGCTACAGCGCATGCCTGGATACACTTATTATGACATCATACCTTGGAAGGTAATAATTACGTTTTTCTGATCGGTTTCGTGCCAACAAGAGAACAAGACTATTCAGCCGACTGTGATTACATTAATCTTAACAGCTTAACTAAACTAACTTGGTTTATACAGATAGCTATATCAGGTCTAAGCCATTCTCTATGATCAGAATGAGTCATCCCTTATTATTAGTACACTGTTACTACAAGAGGAAACCTAAACTGAACTAACTATTGATGCTGGTTAGCTCTATCAGGGACTGGTTGTACGAAGGCCGGATAGCGCTATCCACCGGATAGTGATTTTTTCAAGCTTTGTTAAATCAGTCGTTGATTGGTATAACTCGTATTAAAGTTTAGTATTTATAAATTAAATGTTTTTTATACTTCTGGTGTCGTCCATATCCGTAGTTTCACAGTTTTTCAAGCATTTTACAAAGGTTGAAAAAATCACTATCCGGTGGATAGCGCTATCCGACCTCCGTACTAACACTGAGCCTGCTGTACTGGGAGAAAATTTACTGAATATAATATAGCCAGCGTGCGAAGTTACTCACAACACTGCATAGAGAAAGAGTATAGGACCCAGGATAGAACCCTGTGGCACTCCTGACAGCTGTCATTGATAGGTCTCATTTGTACAAGAAGCTTATAGTGATAATTAATGACGTCATATAGTTGTTTTTCTCATCCACAGGGAAGTTGTCCAATAGATGTCACAGACTGTTGCGAGCAAAAGCCATGTCTCCACGGAGGGACTTGTGAGCCTCCGACCGGTGCCGATGATCCCACGATTCGTTTCCGATGTCTCTGTCGCAAAGGTTACGGCGGCAATCGATGCCAGTATCGAATCGGTTGCCCGGGTTATTTAGACATTGTGACATCTCGCGCAAACGGGATTTACACATTGGTTAACCCTAACACAAGAGAACCTTTTCAGGTACGAGAAGTAATTTATCACAAATGAGAAGTTTTCTACTGGAAGTCAAAGTGTGCTGATAACCGAGGCACTAGCCAAGCATTCTTAACTTTTCTTAGGGAGCGTTCATTAATTATATCAGAGGTTGGGGGGGGGGGAGGGGCTGGTAAAACAATAGGGGAGTGGGGGCTATAGGATTTTCACAGATGAGGGAGAGGTTTTTAGAAAGTCAAAATTTCCTGGGGGACTTGAAAAAAGATATCTTTTTCAGGTAGTTCAGACACAAACCACGGCAGTTTATTGTAGAATACTACCTACACTGGACCCCAGATTTGAGATATCTTTTTCAGGTAGTTCACACACAAACCACGGCAGCTTATGTAAAATAATAATAATAATCAAGATTTATTAGGCATATCCAAAATCACATTTGGCTCTTCATCCAAGATATACAAGTTAAAATATGTCTATGAATTTACATAAGAAAAAAATCTTTCTATATACTCTGGACCACAACGATTGAGATAGATATTATCCTAAATAGATATTATCCTATAGGTGTACTGTAGATTCGATTATGCGGGGCCAAGTGTGTTATTTTCAACGACACTAATTCAATCCTACGCGCTTCAAAACGTTTCCCAAATCAGTCCTTTTACCCAAGGCGCACCTATCAACGAAAATGATGTGAATTTCCAAGCTTGGCGGTTGTCCAAAGCAAACATTGAGGTTCTTACTATGTTTGCTCTCAGATGGATGGTATCTTGCGATTTCGAAAAAACTGGCTGGAGTGGACCGGTTGATTTATTACAAGCAAAACTCACACAGTTTGACATACTAGAAGATGCGAATGCTGTCTCGAAATGCGTCAACGTTCAAAGAATGACAATCCGGGGTGAAACCTGTCAGAATTGTCAAATACCAGTTACACAGACAGCTTCCTATCCATTTCATGTTAATACTGACCGAGCTTGAATCGATAACTGTGGTGGCACCATACCTACGGAGACAGCAAACTGTAACGAAGACAGTTTTGGATGGTATCAATGTGTAAATACAAATCACAGGTGTTCAGCTACACCGGAGTCAACAACACAAATTTGGTTAGAATAAGAAGAGTGACCATACAGATTTAAATTAACCAACAGTCGTTCATACAGTGAAAACCTCGGACATGAGAAACTTGCATGTACGTTGTTTGTTATTTGTTATTTGGAGGTGTTCGCAATAAATTTGTGCTTTTGGACAACGCCAATGTCTATATTTCTCTTTCAACACAGTCTTAATATTGTTACTAAAAATCTAAAACCTTAGTTAAAACTGATTAAAATCCTACTATTTACAAATAAAAATTGAAAATTGGCGTTCTTATTTGTAATTTTAACTAAGGTTTTAGATTTTTAGTAACAATATTAAGACTGTGTTGAAAGAGAAATATAGACATTGATGTTGTCCAAAAGCACAAATTTATCGTAATCTTTCCTTGCTTCGACTAAGAGACTTTGATATATCGAGTCATATATATATAGTATAATATTTATAGAATATAGATAAATTCTTAATTTATACCGGAAATAGGAAACACAGCAATATAGGAAAGACGGTAATAGGTAATAGCCCGCCATGCAGGGAACATAGCAATAGGAAACACGGTAATAGGAAATAGCGAAAAAAGTGGCTTTTGCAATCGACTTTCTCAACACGGAAATAGGTAATAGCAATTACACTTCTGGGCTTCCATATGTTACATACTTTTGACAAGCAAGGGATATTCTAGAACAGAAAATATGCCCAAAGTGAAAACATTAGACACAAATTTCTTTAACGACCGATATCTCGTCGGAGGGATGGGGGGAGGGGGTGTGAAAAACAAAATTTTGGGCCCCTTATAAAGTGTAATTAGGTTTTAAGCCCCCAACGTAACTTGCCTCGGGCCCTCGACGTGACAAGGCATGAAGGGTGATTTGAGGTGGTATCAAAAATGGAACATGACTCCATTAAAATCAGTTTTATACTTTTATATTAATCTTGCAGGCCCTTCTTCCAGCTTGGGGTCCTGTGGAAGGAGCCTATTAAATATAGCACTGCTGTAAGGGCCTCAGACCCAAGGAAAAGTTTTAACCTATCTCCGCAAAGTTAAGAATTTTCATTGTTCCTCCTTTCCGTTCCCCCATATTGGACCTCCTTTTGCGACTTTTCATTGGATGTGGGGGGCAGGGGTATTACACCCCTTACATGCCACAGGCGGCACGCCCCTGCTAGCTTGCACATGCATTCATTTGTAGTTCGTTGCACGATTGCTAGCTGTATTATTGATGTAGTTTTTACTTTATTTATGGTAGTAATAAACATGTTAGTTTAAAACTTTACCGTATATTCATTTTTTTTGACATAAGAAAAAAATGTGAACAAAAATTCTACCAGAAATTTCACCTCAGTATAACATGCGAGACGAATGCTTCCAGGTTGACTCCCCAGGTCATTCTTCAGGTACACCCGTTTCCTCCTGTGGTAACACTGGTACAAAAAGACATATAATCTCACTGGATCTCTAGGGAGAACATTTTAGAACTGATTTAGTTCCAGGAGCATGAATTTTGTAATCTAGGCTCTCTAAAAGGGAATTTCATGCAATGTGCGGAGACATTCTATAGAATTCTGAAGATTACACACTAATTACAAAAAGATAAGTATCGTTCACTTTATCATCCAAGCTCATAAAGAGATCTTTGGTAAGAGACTTTGTTCATCTGATGAACCTGAAGTATTATAATACTAGTGCACGTTCGATAATTTGGCAGCTATCATTTCAATTTCATTCAAATTATTCTCATTCAAAATGTTTTGATTAATACTGTCAAGTGTCAAGACGAATTTTTAGCTCAGTTCTTGTGCTCATTGCCTGATTTTCGTGTTAACGGCAAATTTTATCACTGCACATTTTACATTTTATCACTGCACCTTTTAGTTTTATCACTGCACAAATTGGTTATCCCTACACACTAAAATTAGGAAATGGCTGGAAATGGATTTTCCGGCCTTCATTCCCAAGACGGCCACAGTATATTGTCCCAAGACCAAGTACACACTTCAATTTACAAGGACATATTTTCCTTTTACAATATGTGTCAAAAACACGCTATTTTAATCGACCTGATTTAGCCGGACTATATAGACTATATATATGTCTTGAACAATATATTGCTTGTTGTTTTACATCGTGATTTAATACCCGACTCGAAACATGCGTAAGAAAATTATTGTTTTTAAGTATATAATGATAATGATAATCGACTTTTCCCTTTTTCAAACACTCTAAAAGCACAGGTGAATGCATTAAGTGCCATCTTGTTCGTCACTGGTGCCCGGTGGCAAAAAGATTTGAAGTTAAAAAATTGAAAAATTTCGTTTCCATTACAGCGGCTGCTCAAACTGCTCAACACTTTACAATCGACGAACGTCGTTAAACGACTCAACGTGCGTTTATACGAACTAGAGGTCAAAATCGGTTTAAAATAATCTAAAAGTCTATTTTTCGGATGTATGCAATGTTAGCAAGGTAGGTGCATTGTCTATTTAAAACATTTTATTATTTTTAAAAAGGCATAGTTATATTAAACTTATTATGGCTATTAACTGTCAATGTACAGTCTGTAGTTGCTTTTAATCTTTTGAATATTATATTGTTATTGCTGACCTTTTGTTGTGATTTTTGATCAGTTTCGTCCGCTAAAAGCCAAGTTAAACAATCAAGGTTGTATATTAAAGTATCAACATAATTCATCCAAACTAACTGTTTTTTAAAATATTTGAAGAGAAATATCGCAAAAATCTGACCTTAATTTCTTCTTCATTGTCCGCCTGTGTGTCAAGGGCATATATAGAGCTCACTGGTCAAGGGTTTTTGCGTGTGTCCCCGAGCCAACGGCGCAAAGCGCCGTTCCGGGCGTAAGCCGGGGGCGAGGGTACTAATTCCGCCCAGCTATTCACACCCGGGGAAAGGAAAGATGGCTGTTTGCCAGGAGTGTGGTAAGCAAGTTTCAATTTTCAAAAGTATATATTTGGAAAATCACGTTTTACACAATGAGCTTTGACGCAATTTTTGTTTGAAGAAATGAGAAGAATTTATTTATAGTAGTTTTGTTTGTGGAAACACCACGTAAATTTATTACTGCAAAGCTTTCGATCCGTAAGCCCGGATCTTCTTCAGTGCTAATAATATTTGAATTTATTTACTATGGGAAAAATAGGGCAAGTTTGCTTTGAATGATTATATAATGTCTATGAATTTTGTTGCTTTAACTTTTTGCGAACTGTTTTCCCTTCCAACGAAAGCTGTAAGTTTAATTTCCTAAATTATCCTGTTTAATTTAAGAAAAAAACTTAAAATGTAAAGGAGAGCAAATTGATTTGAAGATGGAATTGAAATTACCGAACAATTTGAACTTGCGGTAGATGAACCGGGCGGAAATCGTAATCTTAACGACTTAAGATAAATATTAATGCCCAGCAGAAAATACGTAAAAGAGCCATAACAAAAATATGGTTTAAGATATTTATTAGAAAGCTAACGTTTCGTCTTTAACAGAGCAATGACATACATGCGAAGCGTAAAACATAGAAATATGAATATAATGAATAAATTACAACTATTTGCAAGATATTATATTACAAAAGTAGAATAAGGAATGGTCAGAGTAGAAGTAGAGGGACCGAACTGCCTTGTAAGTTGAGAAAGACTTTCTCGAATGAGGAGTTCGTCAGGAGAAGAGCAACAAGAAATAATCTTAAAATCATTCCTGATTTTTGTAGCATGATTTCTGCGGATCTGGCTTTGCATCCGGGAAACGAGAATTTACATCCGAGCAACGAAATTTTAGCCAATTAGAGTGTTATTTGCCCCGATTACGGGAAGGTTCAATTTGTCCATCGATTTTTCGATGCCTACTCTATTCTTTTATAATGTCCATGCGTCTTTTCGGCGTAAATATTTAATATTATTGTTTAGGTTATACCGACGCAAGGAATTGCCGCGTACACACCGGTCGTAGCTTAAGGTAGCCAATACTCCAATAGCATTCCTTTATTTGTATAGATCATGTACATGTTTTTAAAGGGAAAATTTGTTTCAAATAGGTACTAAAATGCGGGCCGTCACTAACTTTTCATTTGCAAACACAGTTGCTGTGGAAAATGACTGGAATTGGATTTTCCCGCCTTTACTCCGAAGACCATGCAAGTACAATCCTAAACTGTCTTATAAAGTACAAACTTTCAATTTACAAGGACACATTTTCCTTTGACAAGCCCACAAAGTGTGTAAAAAAAAAACACGCTATTTTAATGCCTGATTTAGACAAGACTGGGTCTTGAACAATATCCGGCATTCCGGCTTGTTGTTTTACATTGGCGGATCATTGCCTGCGATTCAAGAATTACTCGACTCGAAACATGCGTTAGAAAATTATTGTTTTTAAGTATATAATAATGATGGACTTTTGCATTTTTAAACAATTTAAAAGCACTCACAGGTGAATGAGTTAAGTGGCCTGGTGGCAAAAAAAATTTGAAATTAAAAAATTGGAAAATTTCGTTTCAACAAAAGCGGCTGCTTGAGCTCAGACTGCTCAACACTTTCCAATCGAATAACGTCGTTAAACGATTCAACGTGTATTTATACGAACTGGAAGTCAAAATTGGTTTAAATGTGTGCAATGTTAACAAGGTAGGAGGTGCATTGCCTCTGTAAAACATTATAGCGAACTACAATTTTCAAGTAGCCAGTACGGGCAGTAACTGTTCTTGACTACTTTTTTAAAACAGTAGTTGTAGTTATAGCGAACTACATTTTGCCTAAAAATAGCCAAGTAGCTGACTACTTTTCAAACAGCGAATCGCTATTCGCTACTTTTTAAAATTGTTAGCAACCGTTCATGGAATAGAATGATATTAAGCCACGGTTTGCTTAAAAGATTATTTTATACATGCAGCAAAGATTATTTTAGCGCAATGAAAAGTGGCACTCCTGAACACTGTAGTGCTTACAAAAATGTTGCTTTGACCCTTTTTGTTTACTGTTGCTACTCGTAAGTCGATTTGTTATAGGTTATATTGCAGCCTGAGCTAGTGGATGCTCCAAATACCGTTTCACTAAAAAATATAGAATAGCGAAATAGTTCGCTACATTTTTTAAGCATGCAGTATAGCTGTAGTCAGTAGCGAACTACCTTTGTTCAAAAGTAGCAGTAGTTGTAGCTGACTACATATTTCTGAAGTAGCTGTAGTTATAGCGAACTACAAAAATTTTGTAGTCAACCCACCCTTGTCATCAACACATATGAAAGAACATCAGATTTTAAAGTTTTCTGTTTCCTTACACGAGCGTTATGATGCAAATTGCGCCACTGAAAACTAGTTATACCAATTCTCGGGTGGCGCCCGTGTTGCCAAGAACGTCGCTTGCACTATTTACATTGGAAATCAGCAAGTCGAGTCCAAGTTGAGTAATTTGGGACATTTTTTGTATTGGACTCAAGACGCTGAAAATAGCGACCCAAAAAATATGGAAATTGCAGTTAGTTTGAAAATTGGATTTCCATGCATTCAGGGCATTTTTTAACTACTGTATATAACTACTGGGGCATTTACCCCAGTATAGGCCCTTTGCTTGCCCCAGTAGTGAAGCATGATTTTCATATGGGCTGGGCCCTTTTGATCATTAGTAAAAATTAACCCGTTGAAAATGCTGGGGATCTGCCTGCCTTCTCATATCCTCTCACATTCTTGACACTCCATCTTAAAAGGTCAGAACAGGCAGGGGGCGCTATAGGGGGTGTGGGGGGAGACACACACCCCAGTCGTCAGGTAGTCGGCAAATTATCTAATCCTAGTTGGATATAGGAAGGAAAGAAACTAAAATATTTTAGTGACACTGATATTAGAAACTAATAATTATAGCTAAAATTTAGAGAAATGTACGAAAAAATTACGGAAAATTAAACAAACAATGCTAAGTTAACCGAAAAGAAAATAAGAAGTTTGATGTGCTGAAAATGTTTTGATGTAGAGCCGTGGAATTAATGAGTCGGCAAAATTTCACTTACCCCCCTCGTTCAAATAGGGCTAGGGCCATCTCTGAACACAGGTGCAACTGTAAACTATGAGGGGAAAAGGTCCCTATTGAGACTTGGCCCCAGTAGCTGCAATTTCTTAAAAAATGCCCTGTGCTATTTTCAATTAAGATCCATACCATTTTCATAGCAAGGATGTTGACTAAAAAATTCCATTGACAACGTAGCATTACAAACTTTGTAAGTCCTTTAGAGTGCACCGTAATATATGGCTTGCAATTGTGATAAATAATTGAAAAGGTCTATGACTCTATGTCTTATTATGCCCCTATCACAGGTAATCGCATGGGGCCGAGTAAAATTAAGGTTTAATTTCACTTGTGTTTTCAAAGTTTCACAAATTGCCCGAGTCGCGAAATACTTGTTAGTCATAGCGGGCAAAATTTATTCGTAAGTTAATTGTGAAATTGTCAAGTTCTTGAACCTCGTATGTCTCCATGTCTTGACTTCGCCGATGCTTCTCAATGCTGCCCTGTCGGCCCAATTACCCATATCTTAGTTAAATACTCCAACCAATAAATTTGTACTTTTTCTAGTGTTCAAATTTTCACTAGAAGTTTTTAATTCTTCAATAACATCATTATCCGCGACGACAAAGCGAGAAGCCATCGTTTTTATTCCTGTTTAGACTGTTTAATGGACCTATTCCCTAATCAACAAAATTTTGATCTAGACAAGTAGTCTAAACAAACATTTCATCACAGCTTGAAAAAGCATCACAAACTTAGTAATATTCCGAAGTTTCGTTGCGAAATGTTGTAAAATGCGGATACTATAGCACTGCGAAGTTTGCCGTTTTTCAGTCATTTTGTATTACGCACAGCAAATTGATACCGCTTTCCGAAAAAAGGTATCAATTTCCCGTGCGTAATACAAAATGACTGAAAAACGGCAAATTTCGCAGTGCTATAGTATCCGCATTTTACAACATTTCGCAACGAAACTTCGGAATATTACTAAGTTTGTGATGCTCTTTCAGACTGTGATGATATGTTTGTCTAGACTTGTCTAGATCAAAATTTTGTTCATTAGGGAATAGGTCCATTAAAACAAGAAAGTTCCGGCGCTTGCGTCTCAGCCAATTATCAGGTACAAGTATTTTTGCCCTGAATTAAGAAAAAAATGCCCACCTCATTAGCCAATCATATTTAAGTAATTTTGCCCTCTATATGATTATTATTTAAAACACGAAATATTCAACAGCGACTTCATTAATGGACCTCTTTAATTACCTAATAACCAAAATTTTGATCACAACAAGTCTAGACAAAATTAGTAGTCTTCCGAAGTAGTATTCCGAAGTTTGGTTGCGAAATGTTGTAAAATGCGGATAATATAGTCCTGCGAAGTTTGCCGTTTTTCAGTATTTTGTATTACGCGCGGAAAATTGATACCTTTTTTCAGAAAGCTAGTGGTATCAGTTCCCGTGCGTAAATTCGTAATACAAAATGACTGAAAAACGGCAAATTTCGCAGGGCTATATTATCCGCATTTTACAACATTTCGCAACGAAACTTCGGAATATTACTAATTTTGTGACGCTCTTTCAAGCTGTGATGAAATTTGGAAACGGGGCGTTCTACTGTATTTTATATTTTTCAGAGGTCTCTCATTGGCCGTGGCAGTTTTCCTTCTACCATTTTTGGAGCGAAACTTTCTAACACAAGCATTGTACGAAGTCCGTTTTGACCAGGCCAAAGAGGATTATGGTCTAGCCGACAACGAGGTGTTTCTTAACTTGACCCAGACGCCTCGCGTTCAATGCTTTTACCGCTGTTCAATGGATTGCCGTTGCTCGGCTTTCCAAATGTTTAAGGTTACGGACTGTCAACTATTGTCGTCATCACGGGCTGAAGTGACGCTACAGCGCATGCCTGGATACACTTATTATGACATCATACCTTGGCAGGTAATAATTACGTTTTTCTGATCGGTTTCGTGCCAACACGAAAACAAGACTATTCACCGACTGTGGTTACATTAAGCTTAACAGCTTAACTAAACTTACTTGGTTGATACAGGTAGCTCTATCAGGTCTAAGCCATTCTCTATGATCAGAACGAGTCATCCCTTATTATTGGTACACTGTTACTACAAGAGGAAACCTAAACTGAATTAACTTTATTCATGCTTGTTAGTTCTATCAGATCAACAATATTATCTTTAAGGAGAAAACCAGATACCTGGAGAAAAGCTGTGGCGTTTAATTAGCAGAGTCAAATTTATTAAAGCATTTTTCTTTTCGCCTAAACAGTGGCGGAACTCACTTTTTCCAGTGGAGGGGGGCAAAGCCTCCTAAATTTCCGACAACCCCCCCATTTGCACTCGAAAAGGCTGTTTTTAGCCCTCTTTTAGATCAAAATCTCCGAAAATTCGTCATTTTACGTGAAGGTGGTGGTGGGGGGGGGGGGGCGGTTACCCCGCCCCGCCCCACCAAGATTTCCGCCACTGCGCCTAAACATCTTAACCAATAGTTACAAGGTTACACCTCTGTCTCATTCCTTCGTCGATTTAGTCTTAGGGTTAGGGTGTGACAGGCTATATTCTGCGCACCAGAATAGTTTGTCACATGTTGCACTTATAGGAACCAGCGCTGTCAGCCAAATGTGAAAATTTCGCATAGTTTCCACCATCTAGCACTGCAGAGCGACATATTTTTATATTCGAGCCGTGTGTGCAAAATTGAGCGACAACTCTGCGTCGTTAAAACGGCTTTTAATACGTTGGATATCGCTAAAAGTAACGACTGTCTAGTCTAGTCTTGAGGCCAGAATGTAACTATAGTTATTGTTACTTTTCATCAATTTTTGTAGCTGGTTACAATTGCAAGTTACTTTCCCAAAAAATAACTAGTTACCGTTAGAGTTACTAAAAATGTAACGATTACATGTAACTAGTCACTTGTAACGACACGTTCGTGAATTTTCTCCCACTCGTGCGGGCTCGTATTGTTAGCGCATATCTTACCCAAAATTGGCAACTCTGTGTAGAACGTAAAGTTTTCAATTTTTCATCGAAAATCCGCTGGAATCTGAGCCTGCTATTATATTCATTTACTGAATATAATATATAGCCAGCGTGCGAAGTTACTTACAACACTGCATATAGAGGAGAAAGAGTATAGGACCCAGAATAGAACCCTGTGGCACTCCTGACAGCTGTCATCGAAAGGTCTCATTTGTACAAGAACCTTTTAGTGATAAATGACGTCATATAGTTGTTTTTCTCATCCACAGGGAACAAGTTGTCCAATTGATGTCATAGCCGACTGTTGCGAGCAAAAGCCATGTCTCCACGGAGGGACTTGTGAGACTCCGACCAATGCCGATGATCCCACGATCCGTTTTCGATGTCTCTGTCGTAAAGGTTACGGCGGCAAGCGATGCCAGTATCGAATCGGCTGCCCGGGTTATTTGGACATTGTAAACAAACGGGCAAACGGGATTTACACGATGGTTAACCCTAACACAAGAGAACCTTTTCAGGTACGAGAAGTAATTTATCACAAATGAGGAGTTTTCTACTGGAAGTCAAAGTGTGCTGATAACCGAGGCCAAGCATTCTTAGCTTTTCTTAGGAAGCGTTCATTAATTATATCAGAGAGGGGGGGGGGGCTTGTAAAATAATAGGGAAGTGGGGGCTATAGGATTTTCACAGATGAGGAAGAGGTTTTAAGAAAGTCAAAAGTTCCTGGGGGGGACTTGAAAAAAGATATCTTTTTCAAAACACAAACCACGGCAGCTTATGTAAAATAATAATGATTTATTAGGCATATCCAAAAATCACATTTGGCTCTTCATCCAAGATATACCGAGCTAAAATATGTCTATAAATTTGCATAAGCTGAGAAAAATCTTTTTATCTACTCTGGACCACAACGATTGAGATAGATATTATCCTAAATATCTATTTCTTCATCATTCTTTATAGGTGTACTGTAGATTCGAATATGGAATGCCAGGTGTGTTGTTTTCAAATACACTAATTCAATCCTACGCGCTTCAAAACGTTTCCCAAATCAGTCCTTTTACCCAAGACGCACCCATCAACGAAAATGATGTGAATTTCCAAGCTTGGCGGTTGTCCAAAGCAAACATTGGGGTCCTCACAAGCTTTGCTCTCAGATGGATGGTATCTTGCGATTTCGAAAAGACTGGCTGGAGTGGATCGCTTGATTTATTACAAGCAAAACTCACACAGTTTGACATACTAGAAGATGCGAATGCTGTCTCGAAATGCGTCAACGTTCAAAGAATGACAATCCGGGGTGAAACCTGTCGGAATTGTAAAATACCAGTAACACAGACAGCTTCCTATCCATTTCATGTTAATACTGACCGAGCTTCAATCGATAGCTGTGGTGGCACCATACCTACGGAGATAGCTGACTGTAACGAAGACAGTTTTGTATGGTATCAATGTGTAAATACAAATCACAGGTGTTCAGCTACACCGGAGTCAACAACACAAATTTGGTTAGAATAAGAAAAGAGTGACTATACAGATTTAAATCACAGGGAGGCCAAGCGTTGATCTGTGTTAGTGTTGTATGTTTTTCAGTTTATTTATTTTAGTGTCTTTATATTGCCTTTTAATTGAATTATAACACTGAATTACACTAATATGTCATATAATAATAATACTCCTATAGTCGAACATATAATAACAACATATAAGTTGATTTGTATTCGTATGTTTTTCAGTTTATTTATTTAAGATCTATTATTAGCTTATATATAAAAGCACCGCCTTTCGAACCTGACAGCCCGTTCGCAGGATACGCGCGGGATTTGAAATAGGGGGCGGCAACAATATAAATACGTGACAAGGGATGAAACTCTTAGAGGCTGTTCCATTTACTGTTCGGAGTACTCCGGATGTTCGGAAATGGAGCAGCCTCTTAAAGTTTGTCGTATTATGAATGCCCTATGAATGCCCCGACTCGAGTGGACCGATAATTATGCAAATAATGAGTGTCGTGTCGAATAACGCCGTCAACATTTAGGAACCAATGATATAAACAAGGAAGCAAACTCGAATACAACTCAAGGTGAGAAGCCAATTTGTGTCGACCGTAACGGTTTCAATGTTTAAAATTAAAAATTAAATACATTAGGTCCAGTCTATACTACGAAACGTCGCTATTAAAAACTATAGCAATTTATACGACTCTAGGGCTTTTATTTTACAAAATTTTTCAATGGCTATGTACTTTAGCCTTAGACATATCATGTGGCCGAATTTCAAGCTAAAATTCGTTTTAACAAGCACATACGGCTTCAAAATAAAACATCGCCGTGTTGTAATTTCATCCCTTGTCACATTTCTTATTTCAGTGCGAAATAACGCGTGTATCCTGCGAACGGGCTGTCAGGTTCGAAAGGCGGTGCTTTTATATAAGCTAATAATAGATCTTAAATAAATAAACTGAAAAACATGTGAATAGAAATCAACTTATATGTTGTTATTATATGTTCGACTATAGGAGTATTATTATTATATGACATATTAGTGTAATTTAGTGTTATAATTCAATTAAAAAGCAATATAAAGACACTAAAATAAATAAACTGAAAAACATACAACACTAACACAGATCAACGCTTGGGCTCTCTGTGTTTAAATTAACCAACAGTCGTTTATACAGTGAAAACCTCGGACATGAGAAACTCGAATGTTATTTGTTATTTGGAGGTGTTCGCTGTATGTTTCTATTGTGTTGCATACTTTTGACAAGCAAGGGATGCACTAATTTAGACACAAATTTCTTTAATGATATATCTTCATCTTAACTAGTTGCAGGACCGTTCCGACCGATATCTCGTTGGAGGGATGGGGGGAATGAGGGGGTGTGAAAAACAAAATATTGGGCCCCTTATAAAGTGTAATTAGGTTTTAAGCCCCCAACGTAACTTGCCTCTGGCCCTCAATGTGACAGGGCATGAAGGGTGATTTGAGGTGGTATCAAAAATGGAACACGACTCCATTAAAATCAGTTTTATATTAATCTTGGGGCCCTGTGGAAGGAGCCTATTAAATATAGCACTGCTGTAAGGGCCTCAGACACAAGGAAAAGTTTTAACCTATCTCCGCAAAGTTAAGAATTTTCATTGTTCAACAAATATTGGACCTCCTTTTGCGACTTTTCATTGGATGTGGGGGGCAGGTGTATTACACGCCCTACATGCCACAGGCGGCACGGCCCTGCTAGCTTGTATTCATTTGTAGTTCGTTGCACGATTGCTAGCTGTATTACTGATGTAGTTTTTACTTGTATACGTTCAGTTTTATTCATGGAAGTAATAAACATGTTAGTTTAAAACTTTACCGTATATTCATTTTTTGACATAAGAAAAAATGTGAACAAAGATTCTACCAGAACTTTCACCTCAGTGAGACAAGTGCTTCCAGGTTGAATCCACAGGTCAATCTTCAGGTACACCCGTTTCCTCCTGTGGTAACACTGGTACAAAAAGATATATAATCTCGCTGGATCTCTAGGGAGAACATTTTAGAACTGATATAGAGCTACCCAGTAAGTTTAGTTCTACTGTAGTTTAGTGTGTGATCTGATCAACAAATAGAAATACATAAATTACGGTTTTGGGGAAAGATCATCAGTCATCACCTCCGCTGTCTCTAATTGTATGTTTGTACATAACCAATAGGTTTTTATTCAACTGAATATTTTGCTACTTACTTTTCGGCCCAAAACAAAATATATTAAGAGCAGAATCTTTGGCATTGGAACTGATCCAGCATAAATAGAGTTAAGTTTAGTTAAAATTTCCTCGTTTCCTCGTTAAAGATGGCACTTGTTCAGCCGGTCTCTGAGGGGGCTTTTCCAAGCAGGGTGCAGCGCTGGACAAAATGTACAGTTCTAAACCCATCTGCGCAGTACTTAAAACACAAATTTGCAGTTACCCAGTTAACACAAATATAAAATACATGATTCCTTTTAACTTTGTATGTGCAGTTCTAGCTAAATATTTCTTAAAAAACTCGCTGTCTCCAAGGAGAAAAGTTTAGAAATGATAGATGTACACAGTAGGATCGCAGTTAGTGTAAAGGGCACAGGGGACTGCGATCGATTTTACGGTTGGGGGCTGGGGTTGGGATGAAATAAGGTTAGATAATTTGTTTCGTACCCCGCAACTTACCCTCCACCTCCCAGTACACATACTTTATAACCGGTCCCTTAGTTTAGCTTTCATCTCTTGAGTAGTAATGAACCAATGAGGAAAGTCCTTAACGAGAGCAGTTTAGTCAGGGGCGGATCTAGGATTTTTCGCACGTTAGTCAAAATTTTATGACGTCATCAATGACGCAAAACGTGATGACGTCATTTGACATGACGTCATTTGATGTCAGGATGATAGTCCAATTTTTGTGGAAGTATAGATATTTTGGTTTATCAAACTCAAAATGCGTAAATGACATAATTTTCGTACCTGCCAATGTTCAGCATATGATATATTAATATATAGACTGTTTCGCCCTACAGTGTATACCTTGGCTCATCAGCATGCCTAGGAAACATGTTTACCAAAAATAGTAAACAATGATCCAATAAGGCAACAAGGACAGCTCCTTCAAAAAGCTGAACACAAGCACAGGTTTCTGGCTCCTTAAAACCAGATTGCTTGCCTTCACACCTTTTGCAAGAGCAAAAGGAGTTTGGCTAGAACTTAGAAATGGGTGATAATAAAATGAACAATGAACACCACCTAAAATGAGCAATCTGGTTTTAAGGTGCCATAAACCCACCTCACACCTTTCACCACAGCAAAAGGAGCTTGGTTAAAAATGGGTGACAATACGGGACATTTCATGGATTTGTAAATTGCCTTGTTTTTCCCTTTAGCCCCTTCCCCAGTCCTCCTAGCTATTACTAACCTATGTCTAATCTAATTAAATTCATCATCTTGTTATATACTATCCACTATGAAAATGTATAATATCACAATTGAAATGGTGCCTCAAAGCTGCAGCTTCAGTGGAAGCCAACTTTTATTGAAAACAAGTTTGTTTTACCTGGCATTTTAAACATATTTTAATCACAGTCGATTCAAATACAAAATATTTCATTACAAATAACTATTACTTCACTTATCTAGTTATCTGAAATATTAAATTGGCAAGGTTTTTAACACAGTATTCTATTATTCCTATACTATGCTTATACATACTCTATATAGACAGTCACATACTATCAACATGGAGTTTGTCTGTCAGGGCCTGAAATAATGTTCCCAAAGTTCCCGATCATGGTGATCGGCAGTCATGACGTTCCTTGCTTTTTCAGGTTGGAAACCCTGCTTTTCCGCCGATCATAAGCAATTTCTTGCCTATTATTGATTGGTGATCAGTTGTTATTTCAAGCCCTGGTCTGTTGAAAAATTTAACTGGTTCAAGATGCAATGGACCTGTCTCAAGCCAATGAGATCAGACCCGATATTTGGCATCAGCTTTTGTCTACAAAGCCCGAATGTTTGGGGGGGGGGGGGGGGGATTATGGGAAGGTGGTGATCTTGAAAGGCTAAGTTTGGTTGATGATGAAGATCCAAACCCCAGGAAGTTTTTTCTCATGTCAGTGTTGTGTACAAGAGTGAGGTTATTAATTGCTATTGGAGGCGAGAGTGGTCTTTTTGCAAGCCGAGATATTTAACTTTAACCACATGTTCCAGAAAATTTATCAATAACGTTTCCTACAGTACATATGTTAGGAATAATTTCCTGGTGAATTTGCATAATGACCAAGCCAAGTCATTTAATTTAAGTAGTCTTCAACCATAGTTCGCTTATGGCCTTTTAGTGTCCTATAAGTGCCGAAATAGACCTTTCACACTTGCACTGTAAATATTTAAACTATCAAGGTCAAATTAGGTCATTGGTACCTGTCAATGCTTAGGAAACAGAGCTATACAAGCAATTGCCAGTTGCATCAGATCTAAAAGAATAACCAAAGATTATATTATTATTATCTTTATAAAGTACATTTGCAGAGCTATTATCAGTCAATCAATACTCTATAAAGCATGTACACAATAAATATTTTTTATCCAACATGATCAAATATTTGAGATCAAATTTCTGCCACTTGAGGTGTTATAATTTTATACACATAATGAATATATATGCAGTATATAAAACTTTGGACCTAACCTCGCACAATTATGCAAATCGTACGTGCAATTCAACGATTTATTGTTCAAAATTCAAACCACTTTACCTTATTGCCATACACCTCTTTATAATCTCCTGAAAGACGACGAGAATTCGAGAAATCAACACATCTCAGCTAGATAATTTCGGCCAAGACAATTTTCTTGCATCCATCGAATTTATCTGCTTGAAATATTCTCCACAGAACACCAGTAAGCATTCCTTATCGTCACTTTCAAATAACGGTCTAACCTTTTCGAAATCTACGTCGTTCATTTCGATAATACTAAATAAATTGCTTGTAAAATTGTACAAAACTGCAATAAAGCTACCACAAGTGCACAATGCTTCCAAATTGAAGATTAGATGGCCAATCAGAGGAGATGTTCTTTAACTCTTTTGCGCAAATTGTCCAATCAGAGGCTGTTATCTATTTGCAGAATTAGTCAAAATAGTCAAAATTTCGCAATCGTTAGTCAAAATCACTGAGCTATGGTCAAAATAGGTCTGACCAATCAACATGTCTGTAATGTGTAATCTGAGCAAATTTGACCAATCAAATCACATGAACTAAAACGCAGAATAGTCAATTTTCATTTGAATACCGCTTATTTCTCGCTTATTTGACTTATCGTTTGACTAATCAATCGCTGGCTCAATGTGCAAAAACTGATCGAAGTTTATATGCTGAAGTGTGACAGAGTTTTGATTGCGTGATCAGAAATGAAGAGAAGTGTTTGCGCTGGGAAAAAATTCAAAAACCTTAGTCCAAATTTTTTTATATGCCTTTTTTTTACGTTAGTCGCGTGACTAATCTGACTACCCCTAGATCCGCCCCTGCAGTTTAGTACCTTTAGAAATAATAGAGATATCCAATGCAACAGAAATAGAGTTGGTCATATATTGGCAATAATTCCCTTGCCACTCCTCCCTGAGTATTTTTAAAGCGCTAATTGAAAACACCCCAGATTTTGGGGCGTCACGTGACCAGCCCCAACCAGGGTCTTTCCGCAGCGGGAGGGCGTGCGAAGGTAAGAGCCTGGGTACCAGGTTGGCGCTGATAAAGATTGAACTGCTACAATCAAAATGCGCCTAAGTAACATACAAATCTATTGCGTTGAATTTGTTACTTAGTTTGAGTAGGGCATTTTCTGTGCAGTCGCATCATCAGTTTATCCACGACAGACACTCAACTTCAATGCCATTTCGACATTTCCTTCTGAAATTTCCAGTGCTGTTGAGTAACTTTGTTACACTGAGTAACTAGTTACATGAAATCGTTACATTTTGGAATAACTGTGACGTTATCTTGTTACTTTTTTGGGAAAGTGACTTGTATTAACTGTAAGTAATTGCAAAAATTGATAAAAAGTAACGCTAACTAGTTACATTCTGGCCTCGAGAGAGCCGTTACTTTTAGGGGTGCACCGGATTTGGAATTTTCAAATCCGGCCGGAACCGGATTTACCGGATTTGGACAAAAATTCCGGCCGGATTTGCCGGATTTGAAACAAAGCGGTAATGGGGACAATTGTGGATAAATCAGTATTCAAAATGGCGGTTTATGTTTTTTACTATTTTTAGTTAGTGTCAGTTTAGATTTTTGATTATGTTTAAACCATATTTTTAATTATGATTAAAAATATGATAGATAAGATATTTTTGATTATGTTTAAACCATATTTTTAGTTAGTGTCAGTTTAGATTTTTGATTATGTTTATGCGCATTTGATCATAACATGTTAATTTGCGCAATATAAATATTAAATATTATTATTATAAACCTTTTTTAAATATCTTTTTGTTAATAACTTAATATTTTATAATAACATAAGTGTTTTGTAAACTTTAAAGCTGCCAAATTGATGGTTTATCCCATTCTTGGTGAATTTTTTAAGGTGAAAACAAAAATTTAAATCCGGCCGGATTTTCTCCAAATCCGGCTGGATGCTGGAAAATTCGTTAAATCCGGCCGGATTTGAAATCCGGTGCACCCCTAGTTACTTTTGTCGATATCCAACTTACCAAAAACCTGTTTTATCCCTATCCAAAATTTCGGCCACGCACAGTTGTCGTGCCATACTTATATTGAACTGAACTGAAAACTGGTGCCTACTTATCTACAACATGTGAAAGGCTGTTCCACGCGTGTTGCTCATTAGACTACATGTTTGCTCAATACATTGTGAAATTTATTTTTCTGGTTTTCATTGAACAACTGTTTTGTCTAATTCATTTCGTGTTGAAAATTGACATAACTCAGTCCATAAATCGTATTCTGACTCCTGCTTAGCTACAAAAATTACGTGGCAAGGTTGGAAAAATTGAAAGGCGCAGAGAAGTAACACAAATTACTTTCTTCAAAATGTTACTCGTTTCCTTAAAGAGATAATTAATTACAAAAAAATCAAAATTACGACAATATTTTATTGTTACTCAGTAACTTAGAAGTAATTTTATAAGGCTAACCTGGCCCCACTCCTGACGTCATCAAAACTATAGTTAATGAGGTTAATAATTAATCCAACATGACGGACAGCTCATTTCTTTCAAGCAAAATATTTCAAGAGTTAAGCTTGATATGAAAATCTGTAACAAGATTTTTATAGATAATTTTAAATGTTCTTTCAAATGATATAATAAAATTTTGTTGCCACGGTCCATTAAAAACGGTTTTAAAAGCACAGGTGAATGTGTTAAGACTTAAGGGAAAGTACATTTATAATGCCAAGGAGGGGGGGGGGGATGAAGATGTTAAGGGGGAAGCATCAAAATATTTTCTGGCATTAAAAGGCGAGGGCTCTGTGGAGAAAGTTCCTCGACATACTGGAAGGGGGGCTCTAAACTTTTCAACGTTTTGGTCCAGCAGGGGCCTGGAGTGTTCACTCCCACCATAGTGAATAGAATAGATGGTTTGGAAAATCATTAGAATAACAATATAACTCATTACCTATGTTAGTGAACAATAACATTCATAGATCTGGTCTTTTACCATCACGTGAGTATTGTATTTTTGCCCGACTAACCAAAAGCAATGTTTTAGGAAAGTTACCTATCAATGACTCAAACAGTAGGGTAAATTGAAAATTGCTATTGGTGGACATGGCAAAAATATAATACATATGTGACAGTGAAAGAGTATACTGATTTATGAAACAACGTTGACTATAACATACAATCACTTTCAGAAGTTGTTGGGACATATGTAGTTTTAGATTGTAAGTGGATCATTACAGTTTTTTACACACAATACCGCTCCCCTCCCCCTCCCCCCACCCCAATCAATGTTGCTCCAACCAAAACACATCAAACCTGACGAGAAATGGGACACAACATTGAACAGGGGGCGGGGGGATTGACGTTTGTTGAAATTCAAAGGTTTTGTGGCATCTGTCCCAAGACTTTTGAAACTGATTGTAGATAATGAGTTATATTGCTGTTCTAATGATTTCCAAACTGTCTATACTATGTTAACTGACATGGGGGAGCTCCACATGGAATACGTATAAGAAGGCTGCAACACGCCTGTCAAAAATGCATGCCAAAGCACCAATATGCTTCAACTTCTGAAATTTTCATTCTGTTTCTTCCAAATTTTCCATGAATATAGAACATATCGTTCTTACAAATCGCTTTTTTTTGTTTTTCGAGTTGCTACTTTTTGGCGGGTAAATTATGTCACAAACGTGGCGCCAAAAAATTAAAATAAGCTATTGGTGATTTTACTGAATCCATTTGTAGAGTGGACCAAGGGCACTTTAATTAATTAAACTGAAATCTGTTTCTAAATACAACCATTTTATGGGAAGATATAGCGATACAAGTGTCGAAAAATCGGCCATATTGTTACTAAAAATAGAACAAAATGGCGGATTTTTAGAAAATTAAGTCATTATATCTTCGCAAGGAATGGTTGTCAGGGACGTAGCAACTGGGGGTTGTGGGTGTAAAATTCCCCCCTACTGTGAAATTCAGGCAAAAATCATGTAAAATTCAAGTTAAAATTTTGACATTTTCAGGTAAAATTTGCGTAATAAAGTAATTATTTTTGTGAAATGATAACCATTTTTGTAAAATACAATCCATTTACATGCAATTTGTTTGAAAATTTGCTTTATAAAACGCAGGAAATTCAGTCCTAGAGCTTCAAAAATGTAAAAATGTTCTGGGGGAGGACCCCAGACCCTCCTTTTCTCCCAAAACTTAGTATGAGAGTGCCAATCAATCACAAAAAGCTTTATTATAATTATTACACATATAATCCTCCGACATCCCCCCTTCCAAACGTCAGAGGCTTCGCTACGTCCCTGATGGTTGTATTCGAAACCGATTTCAGCTTAATTAAGATATCCTTAGTCTGCTCTTCTAAATGGATACATGAAATCACATATAACTTATTTTAAATTTTTTGGCGCCAGATTTGTGAAGTAATTTACCCGCTAAAGGTAGCAGTTCCAAAAACAAAAAAAACATACGATTTGTAAGAATGATATGTTCTATATTCATGGGATATTTGGTGCAAACGGGATGAAAATTAAAGAAATTGAAGCATACTGGCGCTTTTGCATGCATTTTTGACAGGCATGCAAAGACATTTGCAACAGATGCCAGGCGATACGTTGGGTGGCGGCGACGTTCTCTAAGGTTCCAGCACATTACCCTGATCCAGGAAATCCCGGCTACTGCATGAACGTGTTCAAGACTCCGACTACGCTGAATGACGGACAACAACAACCTGTTGATAATTTCGCCCCTAGAGCCAATCTAAAATGTTTTTTTAAAGACGGTGCCATTTCATCTCACGCTAGTGAGGTGAAAAAAGCAGCAGGTCGGTATTTTTGTTGAGGAGAAGCACATGCTTGAGTATATCAGACATCTTGACAACTGCAAATTGTATCTATGATAAGAGAGAATTCCGGATTGTACTCCTTCGATTCCAAATTTGGGGGGCGGGGCATTGAAAATTTTAAAAACTTGAAGGAGGGGCATCGAAAATTTACCAATAACCTCAACAGGGGCCCTGTAAAAATGTGAGCTTTTTTCAAGACATCTTCGTCTCCCCCCCCCCGGCGTAATAAATGTACTTTCCCTAAGTGCTTGCATTTGTGACAAGATGAAAAAAGTTTCCTTTCGTGTGGTGAAACAAACTGGCAAATTCGAAAACGATGAATAGAAAAATTTCAAGCTGAAAACTTTCGTTTCAACAAAAGCGTTGGCAACTGTGATTTAAACGACTCAACACCATAGGTCTCCCGAAAAGGTCTTTTATTTTACTTTTCTAAAATGCTTTAAAATGCAATGCCTAAAGTGCATATGACATGAAATTTCTTATTTTCTTAAATGAAAGA